TAAAAAGAAAAAGATGGATATAATACCTGTTAGCTATAACAAATCCAGTAGAAAGACTTCTATAAAATCAAAACTGGGGGACTTAAGTTTGGGATACATCCTAGAAACAGGTTCTGTAATACTACAGGTCAGACTTGAATTTATTATGCAACACTGAGTCTGGACAATACTGTTTTGTAAACTTATTTAGAGAACAATGGCTTCTCTGAAAATCCTTGGATGGGAACTGATCTCAGTCCAGTTACCTTCAATGATATGCCTCTGACTGAATCGTCCTTAATGTGACCTTGCAAATATAATTCTTCAAGGGAATAATGATGAGAAATTAAGTTAGCTATTTTGATTAACTTTTCTATACAATTTGTCCTAAAACTACACATTGATAACATCTCAACCCCTTCTTACTACACCTAGTGACTCATTTTGTATAAAGACAAGTATTTAAAAAAACCTCACATTAAAAAATAAAAATAAATTAAAAGGAACAGTAAACCAAATTTATTGGATACTCACATGGACACTTAGACATTTAGCAAGCTATAATGGAAAAATACTTTCCCAATAGCCCTTACAGATGCACAATATGAATAGCAAAACTATAATCCTTAAAGTAAGATGGCAACATAACCAGGGAACCAAGAACAGGCACAGCTACAGGAGCCCCCAAAAGGTATGGACACACACATTTGGAGCTGTTTCAAACTATACAAATGTAGCACAGCTGCTCCAACATTAACACTGGATGAAGGAGGGTATGTGTCCATACCCACAGAGACAGCTATGCATTGCTGTGTTGAATGGTACAATCCCACATCATTTGGTATCATTTCCATTTTTTTTCTTGCCCATCATTGCTCTACTGATGCTGCTTACATCATTTTCTAACAACAGTTAAACAACTGGGGAATGGGTCCCTTGTGAATCTTTGCCATTTGGAAACCTTATGTAAAACAAGTCCTAAACACCTTAATACACCTTGCTATTCCTGGTGTATTTGAAGTCAGTGATACCAATAATTTTAACTCATGTTTGCATCTTAATTTATATGCATATATGCACTTTTGTCAGTCTGCACATCAAGAATGGAGCCAGTGATTAGTCAATCTTTACATATGCTTACACCACTGTTGCATGAACATAACCACTACAAAGGGGGGACACATTCTCCGGTACATAAACAACACCTTCCTTCTTATCTGTTTCCCCTCTTTACCATCAACTGGTCTAACTAATGGGACTTAGATCAAAGTTACTCTAGCAGGGAATTGCATTGGTATATAAATAACACTTCTATCTCATAAGTAGCTGGTGACTAATTTGTCCATGATTAAATAATTACACTATCTTTTACACAGTGAATTGAGGCTATGATACTTCAAAAGTTCACTGAAGGCCTGATTTATTTCTGCTTAACTCAGTGAGAATTGAGTCAGGGTCTTACAGAAGCTACCAGAGTTTTCTTTGTAATGATGGCAACATTAAATCTAAACTCCTAAGGAAGGAAATTAAGCAACCATTGTACCTGTGAATACTTATCCCTTGGGGATTTCTTGTAAGTCCATTTTTTTGTCTTAGAATTCCTAGGAATTTACCAATTCGCAGAAAACTTGTTCCATAACCTGCTTGGAAATGTAATGCAAAGAGAGACAGATAAACCAGCTAATCAACATTCTCCCTGGACTCTGCAGAATAAACAGAACACTGATAGCCCAGGAAAGGATCATCGACCTAAGACCCAGTGTCTACAAGTACCAAGCACCGTCTCTTTCCAGGCTATCGATGTAATGTCACTGATATTCAGCCTAGAACATATTTCAGAAAAATGTGTGCGAAGGTGAAAAATGCTGACCAATAATGGGAGAGCCTGAAGGAAAAGACGTAGAGCCAGAGTACCAACAAAAGATTATTTTGTTTACAAACATTAAGTTACAGCTTCTGGCCCATCTTCAGTGGCCAAGCCTCAAGTCCACCAGCTCCAGCTCCAGATCTCACATTCTCTCCTAACTACCCCTGTCCTTGCTTGCCTTCCCTATGTCTCAAAAGTCATGTCTTTTTCTCATACAGAAAACTAGACCTCTTGGTTCCAAAATGATCATTTATTAGACCAACTGGAAAATGGCAAGAAAAATGTCCTTTTCTGCAAGCTTTCAGGATCAAAGTCCCTTCGGCAGGCTCTGGGAAAACTGTAGATGGTACAAGATGGTCAAATTCTCCATAGGTAGGAAATAAGCTTCATTTTTGCACAGAGGGAGCTGAAGATGGAAGGCTGTCCCTCTGGGTCCATGAGCATGTCTTTGTGAGCTGTGTTGAGTAGCTCTTTGATGTGTTGATCAGGTATAATTCCTTCCCTGGAGGTGTCAGATGGCAGGCAGGGAGTTAAAACTTCCTTGTTGTTCTGCAATGAAGTTTAAAATCCAAAATCGGCTAAAATTTGGCACCTTCCGTCTCAGGGTGTACTTGGTAGCTGTGTTGGTCTGAGACAAAAAAACATACAAAAAGC